TGGGCATAGCACAGATAGCCCATTGTGTAGCTTTGTGCTTAATTACAAACAAACAAACACTCAGGTTTTCAATAAATGCTGTAGAAGATTATTATTTTTCATTTTCAGTTTTGCCTCTGTAAATTTATTCTGGAAAATAAACTGAATAATCAATATTAGCCTTAACTACATGACTACATCAATGAGTCATGATTTCACTTTTATTTTTCAACTAGTATCACAAATTAATATTTAACTTGGTATCGGGACTTTGGATTAGTTTGTTTGTTTATTGAACTTCGCACAAAACTACTCGAGAGATATCTGCACCAGACGTCCATAATTCAGAAAGTTAAATCTTTAATTTGGAACTCCATAACACATCGTCCATTCGTTCTTCCAACTTTTATGATTCTTTGCGAGACTCAACCGCAAACGCTTGATCATTTTCTCTAGTAATACCTTTAGAGATTTGGCTGCAGTGCAACTATTCAATGTAGACAGGCGACTTCCTTTCGACCACTTAAGTTGAACCGCTGATTTTAACTCCATGCATATCCTATAATCCTGCGAAATAATGTGATGTTGAAGCTTTTCAAATGACATCGTCCTCTCCTACCTGCATGTGTTTTATGAAAGTTCCATCTGCAGCCAAACATTCTGATGTTCTTAGAAATACTAAACGTTTTTAACATCACGTCGTAGAGTTATGATTATCTTTTATGCAATCCAATAATATACGTTTGTTATTACTACTTTATTTCATATTTTCCAAGTTTTAGCTGTTTTGAATCTTGCATAAACTTTGAATGATGTTGGAACTATATTGGTCAAAACTGGAAAAATAGAAGTATCCTTTTGTCGAAGAATTAAGCCTTCTCAATCATTTAATGAGATGTGTTATGTGACGTGTAGTCATGTCTTGATAATATCTATTAAGTGAAAAAATATTCTAATTTTTGTAAAAATCAATTCCTCGTTTCATAAATATTATTAGGACATAGATAGATAGATCTTAGAGACAGAGCAAGAGAAACATCATCATTGGTTTGACAACAATGGTTTTCACTCGTGAATGTTTTTTTCAGCAAAATGTGTATTTTTTGTCAATAGACTGAAAATAATGATATGTAATGGATACCTATCTACATGACTATCTATCTATCTAGTTTTGAATTATTAGTAAAATATCCGTGAGAGAAATTATAAATATGTTTCTTATATATAGCCCAACCACTCTTTTATTGTTTTGTTTGAGAATAATAATATATATATCTTTTTAATTTTATTTTAGTGAAACATTTCGGTAATTGTACAAAACTCATCGAATATCTAAAGGATTTCGTGCCAAAATAAGAAACCAAATGTTTTACTCTTTTAATATTTTTTCATTAGATTCATGATTTTTGAAGCAACTCGTGATTTTTTTCGGCCTCGTTCATGAGTTTAGGTTTTAATAAACCAAATGTGGGCGTTCGTACTGCGCAAGAAATCATTAAATAAGAAAATAAGCACAATTTAAATTCCCGATGAAAGATGTAATCACATCATTTGTAAAAAAAAACTTTTCAGTCATTATCTGAAATTATAGTTTTAAAAGCATTTCAGCACACTTAATCTACCTGAAAAGTTTTTAAGCTACTACGCATTTAAAAAACAAATTGTGGGAACGCCGCAACTTTGAGCTTCTAATATCTTCTTTTTTAGCTTTTTGTCATTGAATTATATATATATATATATATATATCGTATATTGATTGGTTTACATTGTTAAGAACTTTAAACCACAACTCTTAAAATAACGAAATGCTTTAAGTACTTCTTCCAGCACAATTGGCAATAGGTTACCCAAGCTGCTTGAAATGTATTTTGAACAATCAAAAGTAATTTAGTAAAATTTAGGCATGATGATGTTTCGTCAATTTTGAACAATTGTGAAAGATGTTCTTGATTGTATCAATCTGTAATATTTATTTTGAGAAAAATTTGGTAAAAATATACAAATAAGTATTAGAGCCTATTATATATTTTTGGTACGGAGTGCCGAACATGTTCAGAAACAGGTAATCAATATTTATACAACTAAACTATTAAAAGACCAAACACACTTAGTTAGCTTATTAAGTAGCTTATAATTATCTAGAACAACGATAGCAGCTGAAATAAAAGGGGGATGCTGGATGAATAAATACCTGAGTTTATCTAATAAGAAGAAACTTGTATCTACATGATTCGACCTGCTTCCCTGGTGATTTTCGTATTTCATTGACTTAATTTAGTAAATTTGAAATCAGATCTTAATGGCTTGCCTTGTTACTTTTGTAACGTTTAATATTTCTTGTTTTATACATACGTGTATGTATACCCAACCCAGATAATTTTTCTTGTTTTATACATATGTGTATGTATACCCAACCCAGATAATTTTTCTTGTTTTATACATATGTGTATGCATACCCAACCCAGATAATTTTTCTTGTTTTATACATATGTGTATGTATACCCAACATAGATAAATTTTCTTGATCATTGTGCATTTTAACTCCAAACAATAAAAACTAGTAACTTTAACAGTACATCCTCTAATTTGCTGAAGAATACAGCAGAAAATACATACTGCGCATCCGCCTTCTTTTCAATATCATGATGATAACAAGAACAACAACGATGAAGAGAACAGCAACTGCAGCAACGATAGCGGCAACGATAATGATGTTTTCATCTCCAAAATCAGGGACCCAGCCAGCAGTCCCTGAAATATATATATATATATATATATACAAAAATCAGACGCAATTCTAATTGAAATTTATTGATTTTACACCTGCATAAAACAAACCGATTCTTCGTAGATTACCTGACAATAAACTTCAGTAGTTCAGTAGTATAATATATTTTATTTAAATAAAATGAAATAAATTACACGCGAAGAGTGCAAAAACGAACTCTATCCCATTCAAGAAACGGCAACAAAAAACACGAAATTACAAGGACTATTTTCGGAACAAATAATTAAGAATAAATGTCTGTATAGTTTAATTCGACAAAAGTGGTTAAAATATAATAATAAATTATTTCAACATACGTTAGTGTCAGAAAATAAATATACCTTAAGATTCATAAGTATTTTTCCGAAAGGTATGATTGATTCCTTAGAAGTGTAATTGTCAAAATGTGAAATTAGGAATTTAATCGAAAAATAAATTTATTTAACCTGTAGGTTAGAAAAGAAGTTTTGAAATCTTTGTTCTATTGTTTGAAATATATCAATAAATATTTTGGTTTGTTTTTGTGACACAAATGTCTACGATTAATTATAAGTTGTTTTATATCTGTGTAAACTATGAAAAATCTGTAAAACTATAGTTTAGTACGTATGTCTTTAAACAGAAATTGTTATGTTTGATTAGAAAGCAAATAGCTTAATTATAGCAAATCTATAAGCTTTTACATTGCATTCTGAACGAATGTATGTTTTACTGCTTGAAGCTTAAAATTTATTTTTGTTTTAAAAAATTCCAAAGAAAACAGATGAATTTGAAAAAAAACCATTAAACTTCATTAAAATACATGAATTATTTGAATTTTACACTTTATTCTCAAATTCAGACAGTTAATTTAAAATTATACAAGTAGTATAAAAAGGCTTAAGACAATAAATTGTTTTTTTATTACAAATGCTTTTTTAATTTTCATATTTTTTACATTCAAATGCAATGAAGCTGTTAAGCTGATCTCTACCATAATACAGTTGGTGTAGGATCATACTAACAAAAGTGCCATCAGTTTACTTATGCGTACACCATATGTTACACAAGTTAAGTTTTGTACCAGTAATAAGATAAGTCAAGTCTTAGATTTCTGCCAATATTCATGTAGATAAAGAGCAGAAAAATAAGTCAATGAAAATGATTAATTCACGAGAAGAATAAAGCTACTTTGTTGGATTGTGGTGATGTATATAATGAATGGATAATGTGTTAGGAACTTTATTTTGCTTTTACCTCATCCGAGATCCAGTGCTAAGAAATGAAAACTTAGCATACTTGTGAACATTTCTCTGTCTCGCTATCTCGCGATTACTAATCCATGGTGCATAATAAATGAAAGTATATTTCAATAACTGTGTTTCTTAACAAGAAATGGTTATCCTTTAAATCCGATTTGTTACATATAACAAAGTTTTATTCATTACCCTTTTAAGCGTCTCCGAACTTCATTAACTAATCATTTCATAGATGTAGGAAAACTTTTATCCTTCTAGAAGATCTAGAAACTAATAAAAGTCCATCAACAAACTTATATATTTTGATCAAGCTTCTCACTCACCAATGAAACCTGTTACTTCGGTAGAACAAGGAGCTGATTCGCCTATAGAGTTGTTTACCACGCAATAATATGTTCCAAAGTATTTTGAAGAAACTTCACTTATCGTCAGTACACTTCTTGTTCCATGTGACACCGCCGATTCTTCAAACGTCTGATTATCCTTCAACCATGTAAAGTTCACTGAGGGTGGATTGGCCTGCACCTCACATATCAACGTTGTCTGCACATTTTTGTTTTTGCTCTCGTACACAATGCATTCTGGTTTATCTATAGAATATAGAACATGATCGATTTCGTTTGTAACATCTCTTATCTAAATGACACGGATAAATAACTAAAAAATGAGTTCCTTAATGAGAGCTTTGGATACTGTTTTACTACAATCCATGTGAGGCCAGGAAAACGGTTGCTGAAATAAAAATATACTACCTGAGGGCCTGTTATATGATCGGTTGAGGTCTGCCCTTTCAAGCTATATAGCAATACTAAATCGATAACATGGACTGCTTGCTACCCGACGAGGTAAAATATAACTTTAGATGAGCTAGTTTTTGTTTAGCATACATAAATAAATGTCAAACGTTAATCTCTTTTATCATTAAAAGTGGAAATATCCAGAGCGGCAGGTAACATAACTAACACTTGGAATGAATTTAAGATAAATATATCAAACAAAACCCATAAAGCTTCTGGTATGTGTATTTACATTAATACTGATAAGGCATATAAGAGCTAACAGACTGATTGTATATGTCAGAATTTCCAAATCTATTAAAATTAACATTTTGTTGTTGTTATTTTTTACTTTTACTTTTTAAGTAAGAAACAGATAATAACATGATATATCTTAGACCGTATATAACCGTAAGTATATTTTGACTGTGTGTTTTCTGTAGCTGATACTGAGAAATTTAATCTATCCTTCTCTTTCTCGTTGTTCCATTTCCCAAAGGAAAATATATGATATTGTGAATAACAAGTAAGCTTCACTATGTTATGGACCCAACCAGAGGGACTAATTATATACTTAGATGAAAACAACCGTGCGCGGCCCAACCAGAGGGACTAATTATATACTTAGGTGAAAACAACCGTGCACGATCCAACCAGAGGGACTTATTATATACTTGGGTGAAAACAACCGTGCGCGGCCCAACCAGAGGGACTAATTATATACTTAGGTGAAAACAACCGTGCACGAATTTTGCACATATGATGACAAAATTTACGCAACTAGCAAAATCCTAAATTTATTAATACCATAAAACAATAGAAATTAGGCTTTTTTTCTTTTTTTTAATTTAGAGTTCATGAAAGCTATTTATGTTTAACATTCACATTCTTAACGTTCAGAAAAGTTGTGATGACTGAATTTGATGTAAAGAATTAGGTGAACAAATTCTTTGTTTAGAAAATAAACACAATTCTTGTACTATCATCATGAATTCAACGCCTGAAATTTTACTATATCCAATGCAATCACACAGAAATGCTTACCAGGAACTTTATTTAACTTAGCATGGTACTATATTTTCCACGACCGCATGCTGTTGAGTTTCATCTTCCTCAGTAGTTCACATATACCGCTGGGCGTATAATATTCCTTGTGAATTCAAAACTTCTGATCTCATCAGATGTAATCCATCATTCATATTTTCTTTTATACATATTACTATTGTTATACTTTATATTCCTAATATATTCAAACGCCATTATTAACGAGTGTAATGTATATATTGTAAGATAAATATGTCCAAGTACATATTTTTATTAAGTCGAAAATCGGACTTTTGTCATGCATCTTTCTCTGTCTCTTTTATTTTCATTTTTTTATCTTAGACGTGGCTCAGAAAGTTACAAGAAAAAACAATATAAATAGACACACAGAAATTTATCTGTCACGGCGTTATTACGGGAGACCTATGAACATTAATAATAAAGACTGCTTTCAGAAACGAGAGTAGTTGATTTGAAAATAAGTCACGCTTCTGATTAACTACTTACACACAACATCGATGTGTATTTCAGTTGACTTTTGCCCTAGTCTGTTAGAAGCCACACATTCATAGAAGCCTGTGTTCTCCCGGGAAATATTGTAGTTAAGAGACAATTCTGACGTATACGAAATAATTAAGTTGGAGAATTTCCAAATATACTCGCTAGGGGGCCAAGAGTCTGCGGTGCAGTAAATCTTGTCTGGTACGTCACCTTCCACAACTTCTAGATACGACGTAGAAACAGTAATATTCTCTGGTGGATCTGAAGATAAGAAACATTATCCATCAGCGTTTCCTTCATTTCATTCTTTAAAGAACAACAACAACAAATATTGCATACCTTAGAATTTCACAGATGATCAATTTCTTTCCATGCAATATAAATGCAAATAGTATTTGGCTATATATATATATATATATTTATTGGGATGTAAAGATAGAAAGAATAGGATAAAACTAGTAGTAAAATGGAGAAGATGTCAAACCTGAACTATAAATAACCGGTTTCTTGATAATAATATAAATTACAATCAAGATTTCAAATAATTATAAGAAGTTTTTATGTGCACCTAGAGACACTAGTCTTCATTTGTACTATTTCATTACATGCATTTTACTTCAGAATCTTGATCTTTCGGTGATTACTTTGTCTCATACAATTGCATAATTTTCTGCAAGTGAAAAAAAAAAGGCAGAAAACTAAACTAATGAAAAGTAAGTTTCTGCTCGTTTTAAGATAAAGAAATTGGTGTGCTCTTTTTTTTTAGGGGCTTAATTAGGTTTAGTTATTCCTTTGACACACGAAGTATGATTAAGATTTGAAAATCAGATTGAAAAAAACTGGAAATATAACTAAATATATCCGTTTTTCTTTTATTTGATAATTGTAAAACATCATGCGAGAGCTCAGGAATACCGCTGTGAAGACATATTCAAATTCTTTGAGCGAAATTCTGTAATAGGATATTATACATCACAATCATTTTAGTTTTGGCAGTTATTTAATTATACCTGACAGCGAAGTACGTGTTTTTATTATGAGTAAAAATGAAAACACGCGGATTAAAGAAGTATTTACCTATCATCGTTAGCGTGTTCATCAAAAGAAATTAAAGACCCACGTGTAATAAAGCGAATGTTGGGAGTACCTATTCATTAAACTTAACGATAATTATCTTTAGAATTTGAAATTCACCGCTCGTATCTTTTCATGGAATTTCGAATGGTTATTAGAAACTTTCCTATGCATAAATCTGACTTATGAAATAAATATGGGTACAAAATACCAAGCTTGTGTACTTTTGCCCATTTTGAATTTATTTTTCCAAAAAAAATAATTAAGGACTAAACAATTAGTCAACATAACATTGAAAATTTTTTAAATTACTTATGAAATTTTGAAAGTTTAAATACAGCTATTAGCTTTCGAAACTGTATAATTATTGTGAAATTTTAGATAATAATTTAAATAAAACATCTAATTTTACAGAATATGTTTATGCAACCACTGGTCAGCTTACACCAGTATAACTGATACAAAATGCAAAATATAACCTACAAATAGTTGCAAATAATGATTACTGTCTGGTGTTTTTCAACTGATCATAAATATTTAACCTGGTTAATAAGAACCTTATTGTAAAAAAAATAATGATTTTGTTTAATAATTTTCACGTAAATGAAATTTGCAATAAGTCTAGTTATCCTAAAGCAGATATATTTTGCCTACACGGAAATATCTTCTGTAAATTACTTATTACACTTCAGACAAAAATGTTTCTACTAATAACATTTTGTATAATTTATTACACTGTTAACACCAATTTTCTGTAGAAAACAACAACGATAACAAATTATATTATCCTCTACAAGTTAAAGTATAGAAATGAAGTAAAAATCATACATATTTCATGGTTTTTCTCTTTGCAACTGACACTGAAATGTAATTTTAAAAATAGGTTTAACTTACATTCTACTTTAAAGTAGGTAGAAGTTGCAATTCCGGGTCCTACGATATTTTTACTACTTCGACAAGTATATTCGGAGTTGTCAGTTTTCCGGTTTAGAGCGCCACCTGGCCAAGCGTTAAAATTCCAGTGAAGTGTGCTAACTACAGACTTGAAACGATTTGTAAGCAAGTCTTCCGGGAGAACTGTCGTCTTGACGAAAAACATATCGGAATTCATAATGCTGTCACCATCACGAAGCCATTCTATCTCACACAAGGGATCACATTCAATTCTGCACGATATACTCAGGCTACTGATGTCTGAGGGCGCTCCATGGATGTGTGGAACACCATCTACTAGAGAAGGTGGTGCTAAAAAAAGAAACCTAGATATTAATTACAGTTAACGAAAGCTCCGCTCCTCTTTACACTAATGCTTTACTTAAACGTTCATTTTTACTTTGTTTCTTTTCGGACCATCCAATTTGAAACGCCTAATATTATTATTGTTTATATTTTCGCATATATGACTGATTATAGTGTTTTACTCAACTCATAAAAACAAATTTCAAAATTAATTCTACACAGAGATGAAATTCTAAAAAAAAGTAGAGGTACTCAGCTGGTCGAAGTGGACCTGTTTTTGAAAAATAAAAAAAATCTATGTGGAAACATAAAAGACGACAATTTGAGTGTCAATGAATAAATGTTTTCTGACGGAACAATAGAACGCACACGCATCCAAAAAAAAGCAGCTCAAGTAAGTCCTGGTACTAGTACCGCTTTAAAAAATAAGTTCCGCTACTCATTACCAGTGAGTACTGGCAGGTTTTCACCCCTGATTCTACAGTTACCATTGTGAGTACATTTAATGAAAGTAACTGATAATTTGCTTTTATTGAATAAATTTACGTCAAACATTGCAAGTATGCATTATATAGAAAGGTGTTAAAAAATAAATGTTTGTAACTGCCTGTAAAACATTGTAATTTATTTATCTTTACTATAAATACTCAAAATGAAAAATAAGTGAATAGATTAATGTTTAATGAGGAACCTACTAACTAATTAAAAATACAGTAATTAAAAATACAATACTGTAAAAATACAGTACGATCAGCTTTTACAGTTGGGAAATCACTAAAAGTAGTATGAGTCATAAGATAACAGTTACATTTAATAAAGCAGTTTGAACTTTAGCAAACATTACAGACTCGTGATTGTGAGTACAAGGTTTGTAGATGGGATTAAATTAGAGTTTTTACCAAAATGAATTGGATGAAATATCAATATGGAAAATGGAAATTTTCTGGATGTTAATTTAGCGTTAGCTTTTATAATTTTATTAGCAGGGCTTCAGCTGTTTTTCTTTTGATGATGTCTGGTTCTCTTCGGATAATTTCGAAATTGTTTCAGTGATAATATTTTTGATTCCTTTGATGAAATGTTCAAAAACGTGTAAGGGTTCTTTAAGTTGATTTTAGGTCTGATGTTTCTCTTTCTCCTAATATAAAATTATTTGCAAGAGTTGAATTTGATTTTGTAGATAATTTCAATGTTTTTTTTTCAGTGGAGTAGTTGTTAGTAATAAGAAGCTTGATCTGAATTTCTGGGTTTTAAATGATTAAAGTACTTATACCGATGTTGTGTTTCTTCGTAATACGGTTTGGTATTCGCTGATGTGTTAGACGTAATAAAGTGATGTGGTGACAAAGTTCGAGTGGTTTTAATTTTTATTAAGATTTGTATGTTTTGTTTGCTTGAAGTATTTGTTTTTTAACAACGTCAAGTACCCTTTTAACAGCTTTTTCGTGATAGTTGTATTTTAATGAATATTTCAAAAAGTATTTGCAGTTCATCGTCTAAATTATTTGCAGAGTATATAATAAATGCTATTTCCATGATACGCTTTCAAAGTTCCTAGTTGCTGTTGTATGTAGTGTGCAGATTTTCAATTAAGGAATATTTCTGAGTTTGTTGCCTTTATATGGGTTTTAGTCTCAAATTCTGATCGTTTGCTTATAATGTTGACGTTTAAAATGTTTAGGGAGAACTTTCAACTTAAAAATGAATGATGGGCTTTATGTCATTGATGTGGTTTGAGAAGCTTTCTTTCACTTCGTCAGGGTTGAAGCCGCAGGAAATTTCGTTGATATATTTCAACCAGCATAAGGGTTTGGACATGGCTTAGTTTAATGCCTGTTTTTCCAGTTGAATTAAAAAGGTGTTTGCTAATAATATTAATAGTTTTCCACCCATACAGACGCTGTCGCTTTGATAATAAGCAGTCATTGAATTCGAAACAGAACTTCGTGGCAAGGTGAGAATGCTTGATGAAGATGTCTAAGTTTTACGTTCCAAGTATTTGATAATTAATTAAATGAAAAGTTTGTAGACTTCTTTTCTTGGAATATGGGTATATATATATTTTGTACATCATAGTTTATCATTTTATGTCTTGGATCCAAGTTTGTTACGGAGTGAACAAAATGTGGAGTATTTTAATGGTGTTATCTATCCGTAGAGTTGAGGACATCTACCACTGTAACCATTTTCTGAGTTCAAGGGTTGGGTAGCCTTTTTCTTCAAGTGCTTTTAGAAGTTTGTTCATTTGTTTTTTGTATAGACAGTTGGAGTTTTCATTCATTTTTAAGTATATTTCATTCATCAGTAAGATATACTGATATTTTGGTGATTCGGTGTAGGTTATTACGTAGCTAATTTGATAGGTTTTTGGACAAGTTTTATTTTATTTTGCGTTGAGAGTTAAAGTTTTTGTTTTTATTTGGTAGATAATTCTTCAAGAAATTCTTTGGTGGATTCTGTGAAATACACCTCTAGTAGGTTGTAAAACCTCGAAAGGACGGTTACTGTTCTGTTTGGCGTAGGAATTTGTTTGTTAATACAACTCAGTTTGTTGATAATTGGAATTTTCTTGGTTCTTCAAAACATATTTGTATATATATATATATATATCAGCTGTATGTAGTTGAGATGGCGTTATGGCAAGTTGATGTTCGCTCAGAGGCGTGTCTGATAGGTTGATGACCTTAGGGTTGGCAAAGTTAGAAGAAGAGCTTACCGTTTTATTGTTTGTTGTTTCAAATTTTCTAATTTTTTAGTTAATTTTTGTATAAGTTTCAAGTTCTGTTTGCAAACGTAGTTATTAATAATGGACAATAACGACAGAAATCGTTTGTTGAAATAATTCATATTAGATCAGCTCATTGTATGATTTCACGTTGTTTAAGTTGGTTGTTGTCTTAATATTTTTTTATTGGTGTTGCAGTTAAATGACTTGTTTTGAGTAATGTCAAGTATTTGTTGAAATTCAAGTTTAAACCTGTTGTCTTAATTATTAGTAGAAGCTTTCAGTTTTAGGAATGTTATCGTGAGACACTAGCAAAAACCTAATTATATTATGAAAACGACTCATGAAGAAACGCCAAAAGTCAGAAATTAAAGGCAAGAATAATGCTTGGAGACGGCTTGAATGGGAAATAAAGAAAAACTTTAATATAAGATTAACATAACAGCAAATGTACAACGTTTCGACAAGGTTTTGTCACTGAAACGTTGTACATTTGCTGTTATGTTAAGCTTATATTAAAGTTTTTCTTCATTACCCATTCTAGTATTTTTACTATCAAAGTGGGTTCCTCGTCATCGAATTTAAAGGCAAGAATGTTATTAACAATACCCTACTGAAAATATAAACAATGAAGTCATTTACCAAATCAAATTGAACTCTTCTAAGCACTTTGATATCGGAGAAACCGGAATAGAAATTAAAATCAGACTTAAAAACATCTAAAAAACCCACGTATTTGAACATCACAAAGAAAGAAACTAAACATATTATCTCTGAAAATGATGTCTAAATCATCAAAAGAGAAGATTAATTGAAGAAAGACAGCTAAATCACCATTAATAAGGTTGACAACGCCAACGCTGAATAAATATCCAGGAGTCCCTTATCTATAACAATATTTTAACCAAATCGTTTTATCAAAAAAGCGGTCCTCCGGTTTACGGACTTACAACGTAAAAATCCGGAGCGCGATTCCCGTGGCGGACACAGCAAATAACCATACTTGACTTTGCTCTAAAACAGCAAACCAACGCATTAAAAAAACTAATTTATCACCACCTACAAATCTTGTTCTCACCACCACGAGTTTGTAATGTTCTCTGAAATTCAAACTGTTTTATGAACTGTAAGTGTTACCTTTTCATGACCCGATACTACTTGTTGCAATAATTAAAATCAGAATTTCTGAGGGCAAAAGTTGCTGTTATTGTATTTTTTAGAGTGAACATATTGTTTCTACGCAATAAAAAACACCCTAGATTGTGTTATCTACTGGGAAAATGTTTCTTATTAACATTTTTTTTATTAACTGCTCCACGAAAATTGCTTGTAAATCGTTTTATTATAAAAAAGGATAAATCTAGAAGTTTCGAACAGCTTTTGTAGAATTTGATCGTTTTGTATACTAAATAAACAAGTACTACATCTTTGGGAAGATCATTTCTGCTTGATTAATGAATAGAATATACCTCAATGGTTTTCACTGTGTCAAAATGCAAACAGTTTAATTAATCTTGTACTGCAGTAAGTCAAATCTTAAAAACATAGAATGAGACAGCTGCAAACATATTACACTAAATATGGTTTCAGATTCAGACAGTTAGCTAACCTGCCTTTGGCAGAGTATGATGTATTAGACGTTCACAGCAGTGTAATATATTCGAGGAAATGTTTATACATTAATATCTAACGAGCATTCCTCCTCGGTGATTTTTAAAATAAAAAGTTTTATATTTTATATTTTCTTCAGTCTTTGCTATCGACTTACACACACATTTTGTGTGAGTGAGCGCACATCATGCAGAATTTAGTAGAACCAATACGTTATATAAAAGGTCTCATACACATGTTTTCTCTCGTCGTGTTTTATATTTTCAGCGATTCGCATGTATGTTTGAAGCTAATTTTTTTATCTTCGTCGCTTGGCGTACGAAGACTCTAAAAACAGACTTGGCATCTTCAGGATCAGAATTGAGAGTTGGTCCAATATTAACTCTTATATATCTAAGTCTAGACATTCTCTATTTTATGTTTGTTGTATATAGCTTGGCTAGTTTTGAATATTCCCACTAAGAGCCAGTGTTAGAGACTGTGATTGAGTCAGTCTCCAAAAAAGCGATAACATTATCTGAATGAGGTGCTTAAATACAGTACCAGGATAGAGGGTGCATTGACGTAGTGGAGAGTGTCATCCACGGACGCAAAGTGGGGAGCGCGTTGTTTTTTTGCGGTATAGGGACTCGAGCCATGGACCCTTGGATCACGAATCCAGTACTTTAAT